CCATGGAGGTACGGTCACTTTGTCGGCCTCCCTCCTGGAAATTCTCACTTCCGTGACTTCAGGATCTGCATCTCCATCAGGATCACGCGCATGAGATCCAGGATCCGATTCAGGTTTGCCTCCACCGCTTTTCTTCTTATCATCATCATCGTCAGGCGGGTCAGGAGGGTCATACCCCGTGCCGGTTCCTTCATCGTGCTCTCCATCTTCGTTCTCGTCGCCAGCCTCGTCACCGTCATCGTCTCCATTATCCTCCTGAATCGTTTCAGCGAATAATCTCCACTCATCACGATCAGCTCTGAGACGTTGTTCGGCTTTCTGGGCCTTGAGTACTTCGCTTCGCAGATCGGCAATCTTCTCCTCGTACCGTTCCGCGACCTCTTTCTCGATCTGACGTCTCCTTGCTTCATGAATGGAATCGTCATAGGCAATAGGGGGACCGATGAGGTCGTTGCCCTTCGTAGATGCGGTGATACCGTCGACACCAACAGGTCTTGAGGAGCTGGCAGATGCTGTGGACTTCGATCCCAACATCCCGCGATCCTCCAAGAGTTCGCGTAGCTGTCGATCACGCACGGCTGCCGCATCACTTTTCCCATGAAATCCGCTTGGTATGCCGAACAAAGTGGCTGCACTAGGCGTGGAACGCGCAAGTGCTGGGCTGCTAATACCTGGCACGTAGTGCTCGGGCATTGCATCCGCCACGATTGGCATTGAACTGCGGCCAGTGAAGAAGTTTCCACCGGTGAATGGAATTCCATCCATCACAAGGTTCTTGTCCTTGTCCGATTCCGAGAATGCGAACTTCTCTTTGGCGACTGGACTAACTTGACTTGGGGACCGTATTTCAGGGGATCGTACCTCACCTCCTACGGAAAATGCAGGCACTACTTCCTTTCCTACGTGCTCCCAGCCAGACTCAGTAGTCCTCGAAGACATGGGCATGCTTGAAGGCCGTGTCGCTCCTCCATAGTTGGAGTTCCGCGCTGCCTCCAATTCGCTGCGTGTCCTCGCTTGAAGATCTTCTTGTGCTTTGAGCGTTTTCCTGAGTTCACTCAGCTCGTCGTGCAAGGTAGGCAATGCTCGCCTTGCATGATCTTCATTCTGATGAAGTCGGTCCTCTGCATCTTGCATCCTCTTCACAGCCATTTTGCGGTACTCTTCCTCTTCACCAAGACGTTCGCGAAGCCGAAATCGTTCTTGATCAATGGCTGCGCTGTTTCCAGCTAGCCCTTGGATCTCGTTCACGGCCCGCAACTCCTGGTTCTTGACCAAGTGGAATCGTTCCTGCATTGCTTGTAAGGCTTGTTCCGAACTTGCTGTGTTTGACCGGAGGACCAAGTTCTCTCTGGCATGTTCATGAAGTTCATGAGTCAGACGCTCATACTCACGTGCCATAAGCTCACCATCGCCTTGCGCTCTTGCCTCCAACTGCACAAAGTTAGTGGCTGCCTCCGTGCGGAACACGTGTAGCTGTTGAGCTAACTCCTCGGCAACGGCATGTGCTTGACGTTGTTGAGCAGAGTTCTGTTCATCCATGCGAAACAAAGCTGTTTCATAGTCTCGCTTCATCTCCTGATTGACATTGTTGATGTGCCTCATGGCTAAGCATGCATGGTCACGTTGTCGTTCCAATTCTTCAATGCGAATTCCAGATCCTTCATCTTCTTGTTGCATCTCCTTGATCTTGTCCATCAGGGTCTGAACAACTCCTTCGTATTCTTGCATCTGACTGCGATAGTACATCTGCTGCGCAAGGTTAGATGCTTCGAGCTGTTGCGAAATCGTCAGTTCCTGATAGGCATTCGGACCATCGGCTATGGCTGGCGTGGTCACCGATGATGCATCACCACGTGCTGGGATAGTGTCCAGAGTCATATCCAGATCGTCAGCATCACGTGGTTGATTGGTAACCATCCGATTCCAAGTCATGGATTTGTCACGCCCACGAGTAGCCGAAGTCCTCGATCGTGCTGAAGAGCTTCTCGAAGATGATGGTCTTGACTTCTTTTCCAAGGTCTTCACTCCTTTGTCCTTGGCCCTGGACGTAGTCCGAGGTGCCTGAAAACCAGACGCTTCGGCTCGTCGTTCGGGAGCCTTGCCCGTCCTCGAACCTGTGGATGTCGGACGCGAAGGCGTAGATGCTCTTGGTAGACTCTTTGCTTTCACCTTGGGAACTGCCTTTGCAATGGCAAGCGCAGAAGATTGACCTTTGTCATCTTCCGTGGAGCTATCAACGGATTGCACCACTGTGTCATCAGCTGTTGACTCACCAACGGCTGGCGCTGCCACATCGGCACCGAAAGTCATTGTCGTATCTTGGCTTGATCCCGAGTTCATTGTGGTCGTAGTAGATCAAGTAGTCGTTGCTGTAGAAAGGCAGAGCCGCGTACGGCTGATAACCTGCGTGGGGGATTGATCTCGACTAGGTTGCTGCTCTCCCCACCAGAGCTGTAATGAATGTAGGTGTGGCTGGCTTGCACTCTCCACAGACTGGACCCTGTCTCTCTTACACTTCCACACGTGCAATCCTATGCAGGCAGAACCGGCGGCCGTTCCTTTTGCACTCACTGCCGGCGGCGGTTCGTCTGTGCAACGGGATAGCTCTGATTGCTCAGGATAGAAGACACTTATAGCACTTAGCTATGGGCATTGACTTGAGCCAAACGTTGCGTGGGCGGTCACATAGAAAGGTAAAGATGAGGGACGCGTAGCGTGCCCCCTTAGAGTCGAGGGACGCGTAGCGTGCCCCCTTCTCTTGCACTTTACACGGTCTTGCTCACAGCTCTTATAGTGACACCTTAGAACTTGACAAGGCATCGCAGTCCGTTCGCAGCAAAATTACCAGAAGATATAGGAAACATTATACAGTCGTTTAATTGTTGTGACAGTTAACCGTCTTATCAACTTAGAGGATGATTATCCGTTTTACATAGATGAGCAAGATGAACTAACAAATTTTGAAAAGCAACTTTTTATATTGAAAGAAAGAGACAATATTGATGTATATTTTGATGGTGGTGATAGAGAAACACAAAACAAAATTTAGTAAATATGCTTATGAATAGTGATAACCCTTATAAGAAAGTACGCATATCCTTTATTAAGAACAAGGGAACAAGGTGTTTTTGCAAAGTTTGATGTTGTGTTCGATTGTTGTCATAATACGAAAAATTATGAAACGTATTTAAAAACAAGAAAACATTTCAATATTACATTATTATTGTTATAAGAAATCATCTCCGGAAAAATGTTGTTTACAAACATTATTTATGAGTTTCTGATTAAACTTATTGGCAAAGATATTAAATATTTAAATCTTGATGAACTTCAAGAACATTTAAACGAAATATTTGATAAAGAAGATGATGAAGATTATTACAGACCCTAGGCGGGATGGTAGCGGGGGTGGTAGGCACTTAAAACTTAAAGTAATGGCTCCATAGTATGTAGAAACGGATGAACAAGAAAGGGCCCCTGTGTAGGTTTATTAATTGTGATGTTTGTAATGAAACTCTCAGTAAGAAAAATGATATTAAACACCTGAAAACAAAGAAGCATTTAACAAAAAAAGAAAATTAAAAACAGAACTAGCTGAGAAAGACAAACAAGAGAAACAAAACACTAATTTTAAAAACCATGTCTTAAACATGTACAACAAACATATTATGGAAACACCAATTAATATTGAAGACTTGAACGGAATTAATCTTAATGCTAAGACACATAAACCAACATAACTTATATACAATTATGCATTCATAATCGTATTATTATAAATGTAGACAAAGCCACCACAGAAACCTGCACATAATATTATACAAAATATTATACACAAAACATGACACAAGCTTAATACCAATGAGAGTTGAAAATAACCAGAATAAGGTGACGATATTTTTTGATAAATATTTTGACATATTTTTGAAAAAAATGAGAATGAAACAGAAAACTAATTTCAAAAACGAAGTAGAAGGTTAAATTTAAAGGAATGGAACAGATGACTAAACAGTAAATCTGTAAAAACTACTACAAGGAAAAACCCTAGAAAATTGTAACGTTAGAGATGCCCAAAATTGATTTTAAAATTTATGAAAATGAATGAGGTAACTGGGGCTGGGATTTTTTGAGAAAGTATGAAAAATTGTCAAACATTTGTGTTGAAATGTTTGAGGCGCGTTAATGTGAAAATGCATAAGGTAATTCTGTATAAAATATGTCAAAAGTTTAGCCAAAAGAAATGCAAAAATGTGAATAATAAGATGACAACAAAACGTAATAATGATTAAGATAGCTATGTTGATAAAACGACATAGGGGGCTATGTAGGGTCTGGGGGCTAGCCTCAGGACCACCGTTTTACATTTGTGTTTTGTGTTTTTTTTTTTTTTGGGGGGGGGGGGCTTGAGGGACTCTTTGGCAGATACAGATATGTATGTACGTATATATGTATGCATGTATGTATATATATATATATATGCATGCATGCATGCATGTATGGATGTATGTATGTATGTATGTATGTAGTTTGTCTTTATTCATATTGGTACGCGTTGTGTAGAGATCTGAGGAGGGGGTTTGGAGTCAGGAGCACAAGCTGGTTCGAGTTCACGAGTTGGATTGTAGAGATTTGGAGCCTAGGGTTTGGTTCAGAGCTCCTTAGGACACACGAGTTCATGCAGCAAGCAAGACTTGAACCAGTCTTGGCGCGTTTGCTGGAATGGGCGGAGTACTTGGAGGATCATGGGATTTGCTAAGTAAGGTTATAAGCACCTTAATTGTGGTTAGAAGTAACTGTAAGTATAGCTACCTTAATTATAACCCTAGTTACTTTTCCTTGCATGCTTGATTCCTGACTTCCGCCCCGGTTGTTTCCCGACTCTTGTCTCTTTGTTTCCGGACTGCTGCCCTCTTGTTTCCCGACCCATGGTTCCTGACAATCGCGCATGGTTCCCGAATTAGTCTACTCCCTCAGCATAACATGTGCTCCGTCCCAGTGGCCGCAGCAGTTGACGCCGACCGCCCAGAAGTCGTAGGAGGAGAGCGGTGCTGCTCCGCTTGTGATGGGGGCAACACAGTACCTTTGTTGGGGATCGTGCGGCCAGGCTCCGGAGTGGTAGAAGCTGCTCAGAATAACTAGCTAACGGTTCATAGAGGATAACACTTCCCAATTCCTAGTGTTTGGGAAGCTTCACCTTGGTATAAGGGTACAGTTGCTTCAGCTTCTCAACTTTTTGGCGCCTTTGTTTGCGATTTCACTTGTGGAGCCATATCTCTTTCTATCTCTCTATATCTGTCTCTCTCTCTCTCTCTCTCTCTCTCTCTCCCTCTCGGGAAAGAAACCACAGAAAAACGAACTGCTCGGTTTTGCTGGTGATCTGAACTTCGGGTTGACCTTACAAAACCGCTCTTGGCTCTTGGCATGACTGTCCAATGTCGACACCATCAAAAACCTCCAAGCTTACCATTCTAAGTCAATTTTTAGGTCCTGGAATCTCAACACTCGCAGCCGCCTCTGCCCGTGTGAGGCTTTTGCGACAGCCTTTTTTAAGTGCACACCCTGCTCAACGTGGTGGCCTCGGCGATTTACTCTGGGCCAGAAGTTCTTCGTGCATGCTTCAAATACGTGGCTGCAGCCTATAGCCTCTGGAGCCTACGGCCACCAGATCCCCCTGCAACCTCCACTCCAGAGAACGTTAAGTGCGAGAGTTGCCTCTCCAGGTTCTTGAAGGACATGGACTTGCTCACGTCCAGAGAGGCTCCATCTTCGAAGTAGACGCGTCCTGCATCCATCAGCTGCTGACCTCGGCAATTGATTGAAACGCAGCTCCAATCAGAGTGTCGCTGGGCAGAGGGAATTTGGTACCTGAGGAAAGCTGTGAGGAAGGTGGCAAGCTTCACCAGGATTTTGCGGTTGGACCAATGCCTGAGGTCGTCTCGAATGCTCCTCTGAGCCTAGCCGCGCTTGATGGTATACGTTCCTGTCAATCATGTGGCTTTTGCTGGACATAATATCCAGCTACCTCACTATCGGGACGAAAGTCATGACAAGGACCCCTGCCAAGAGCCCAAGCTACGAATGCCACGGCTCGAAAACATACCGCTCGCCATAACTGCCTATCCTGTGGTTTTTTCGACTGCGGCTCAATTGCATGCTTGTAGTCTTTCTCTGCGTCTGACTACGCTGTCTTTGATGAGGTGTTTAATGATCATGCCCATGGGCTGCTGAGACAGTAATGTTGCGTCACAGCTCGTATCCCTGTTGTTGCACCGAATATCAGACACAGGCACCTCGCTCCCGAGCAGGACTAACATCAGGATAGGAGTTGATGTTCTCGATGTCCTGGTCAGAACCAAGGCAAACCCACAAAGCGAATACTCACAAGGTGCCCCTTGTGAGTCCTACAGTGGCAAACCCACTCAGGCATCGCCCAACGTGTTTCATGAGTTCTTCAGTGGTCCCAACTGCTGCTAACTTGCACCTGAGCCTTGAGGGAAGCTTGGGGCTAGGGAAAATCACGCAACATCTGGAAAAAACATCGGACAACGCAACCAGCAAGCACAAAGTCCGAAAGCAATTTGCCGCGGAGAGGTTCACACCTGTATGCCATAACAGTCACAAGTAGTCACGATACTGAATCCTGGCATCTCAATCCGAAACAACGGCGATCTGATCAACAAAATATGAGATCTGGCTCTGCTCGCGATACTGCCAAATCGCGTCTCACGTGCTAAGCACCTGACCGTCTGGGCTGCTGAAGCCAAGCGACATAGTATGGTTGCATGTGGTACCAGTAGTTCGTGTCGCCTGGCCAAAAGCTGGTGACAAACTCCTATGACTATGGTTGCGGGAACACCGCGTTCGAGCCAAAGTTCATTGTAAGATACTTCCACGAGGAGGGCTCGACGTCCCCTAAACAGAAAATAGGAAAAAGGTTACTGTCAACGTGCCCAGCGACCCAACGTGGCGGCCAACACGGTCGCCGCTAAGTACCTCAACATGATGCCGATTGCCACGCACGGAGGCGCACATCTGCAGTCAGCATTGGGTAGGTTTTGAAATCATTGCCACCATCTCTCTGCATGCAGCATCTTTGCACGAAAGCAGATTTAGTCCCGGCCAAAACTTATCACCATCTTGAACCCAGGCTCGACTCCACATCCTGATGTGACTGCGGCTTTGGACTATGAAGTGCAGCTGTATTGAACTGCTACAACACTTGTCGGTGATGGGTGGTTTCGCCGGTGAGTGCAATGATGGTCCAGGCAGCGCTGGTGTTCAGTGCTGCTTGTTGTGGTGGCGCCGGTGTCGGTGGTAGTTCTGGCGGTGGCTCCGGTTCTGGCGGTTGTTGTGCTGGTGCTTGCAGCTATTACAGACAAGTACGAGCCGTTTTGACCCAAGTTCTCTTGTCGATCGCGATGCTCCAGCTCACACACATTAGGGGGTCTTCGGAGGTTTTCCTGTGGTGGACGTGACTCCTGCTGCACATCTCAACCAAGCCACGCCATGGCCGCAAAGGTGCACCAAGTCGGATCCTGCTCCTGCATCCGGCTCCTGCATTGGCAGCACTGCACTTCAGCTAAAGACGCCCGTTCGTACGTTCTGGAACTCTGGAAGCACATGTAGAGCTACTCGACCTAAACTGGCGCTCCAAAAAACGAAGTCAACGGCACTGCTGCTAGTCTGTCATATAATGCCCCATAAACCTGGTGCCATCGCGGACTTATCAACCGATGCATTTTTCAGTTCTGGAGGGTCAAACTCACCGCTTTTTATGCCGCGAAGGCATGCATACAAACGTCCTTTCCATCACACATACAGGAGAAAGCCACACGAAAACGCTTCAGGAGGTCAAAAGTGGAAAAACATATAAATACATGAAATATGTCTTCTGAAAGCGAAAGCCAGACGTATTAGGATGGTAAAGCACAGAAACACGGTCTGTGGAGGGGGCGGGGGCGGAGCCTGTGGACAGGGCCTGTGAAGGGGGCCATGGATAGAGCCTGTGGACAGGCCCTGTGACAGGGGCGGACAAGGCCCACGGACAGGGCCTATGACAGGGGTGGACAGGGCCTGTGACAGGGCGTGTGATAGGGGTGGACGGGCCTACGAACAGGGTCTGTGACAGGGGGTCACAGGGCCTGTGACAGGGCCTGTGGCAGGGGTGGCCCACGAACAGGGCCGTGACAGGGGTGCACAGGGTCTACGGACAGGGCCTGTGACAGGGGTGGACTGGTGGGAAACAGACAACAGTGAAGTTCAGGGACGGGCCAGCGAGGTGCGGCGGATAAGATGCTGGCCGACCTGCCTTGTCAGAGCAGCCTGGTGGGTGATTGTCGCCATGGTGTTGATAGCAATGCTCGTCATGTTGGTAGATGGCGCTAGCGACCGCTGGTGTAGATAAATAGATAGACAGATAGACCGGCAGAAAGAAAGAAAGGTAGGTAGACGGATAGGTAGGTAAGTAGGTAGGTAGAGTAAATGACTCTGCAAAAGGTAGAGAGAGAGAGAGAGAGAGAGAGATGGCCAGATAAGCAGGTAGTCAGATATGTAGAAAGATACATGTTCATGTAGATGTAGATGTAGATTTAGAAGTAGTGGCAGTGGTTTTCTGCCCTCCGGCATGGCTGAGTACACGAAGCAGGGTGAATGGTATAGAACAGTATTATTTAGCCTCGACCTAATCTGAGGGCACTTGGCAGTCCAGCATCCGGCATCTGTGCAACCGGACAACATCCCACCAATCTTACTGAGTGGTCACAAAGGCTTTTCACAGGTGCTCACAATTCGTTTTCCCCGTGATTTCAGCCTTTCACTTTTGCACTTTCAGCAAAATGCCGTTCCAAATACAGTTATGCCCATTGATTCCAAAATTTAGGTAAGTCATTACTCATGTAACCCATGCACGTCAGACTCAGAAATTTCTCACCGAATCGCCAAGTCCAAATGTATCTTTTCCCGCAACTCACTTCCCACCTGTGGAGCAAGCCATACCTCCACCATTTCTGTAAGCAGACTTGCTGGAAACAGGAAAGAGGAAATCCAGAGTTTGGGGGTGAGCTCAGATATCAACCCTCTTCCAGAATGAGACAGTGACCTCATCAAGTTCCGCTCACTACTTTCAACAGCTCCACAGGAATGAGAAAAGGCCGTCTTCACACCATGTTTGTTGCGTGAAATAGCAGGAGTAGCGTCGTCGTGGCGGCGGTGTACTAGTAGTAGTAGTAGTAGTAGTAGTAGTAGTAGTAGTAGTAGTAGTAGTAGTCGTAGTAGTAGTGGTAGTGGTAGTGGTAGTGGTAGTGGTAGTGGTAAAGTGGTAGTAGTAGTAGTAGTAGTAGTAGTAGTAGTAGTAGTAGTAGTAGCAGTAGCAGTAGCAGTTCCGTGGTGCGTCCATGAACCAGGGTTTGGATTCTTGCGTGTTTGAACCAAGCCGTTGGTGGTGCACGTTTGGCATCGCGGTTCTAAAAGGTTTTTGGAAAATGGTGATGACGATGTGGATGGAGGTGATGATGGCAAGTGACGGTGGTGCCCATGCATGTGCTGCGACAAGCACGTGCCGAAATGCCAAACCAGCGCTGCATGAATCTTCTGAGATGCTATAAGATCCAGAAGCTGGAAAGACGTACAGTCAGCCAACAGATAAATACGGATGCACTTGTTGCTGCCATAGCAGCGACGGTAAGTTGGAAGCCAAGCGACGACGACCACAACAACGACGACGACTACTACTGTACTGACCGCTATCGCTACTACTACTACTACTATACTATTACTACTACTACTACTACTACTACTACCACTACTACTACTACTATACTATTACTACTACTACTACTACTACTGCTACTACTACTACTACTACCACTACTACTACTACTACTACTATTACTACTACCACTACTACTACTACTACTACTACTACTACTACTACTACTACTACTACTACTACTACTACGACTACGACGACTACTACTACTATTTTTCAATTGAACGCTGCGCGAGCGTGCTCTGCGCTTTGCGGGCGCCTTTGGTCTCGTGCACTCGTGAAACTGCTTCTAGCATGCATCGCTCATACCTCTCTAATCAGCTCAAACTTGAAAACTACAGCTACAAAAGCTTCCTCCTCCGACACCTTGGTGTGAACAGACGCGTCCATCAGTGCACCTGTCACAACAATTAGGCCGTACCTCAGACGAAGCCGACACCTGGAGTATCCGTCTCGTGGCGCCCCACACGGATTACTCATGTTGAAGACAGAAGGCCGTAAGGGTCATATGCCCATGACCGCATGTACCTGAATGCATCTCCGATGGAGTGAGGCTGTTGGCAACTTGGACGTGGGCAACTCTCTGATGCAGTGATGTGCTGTTTTAAGCAAGGTTAGCTCGCGGTTCACAGACTTCCGAAGAGATTTGCTAAGCGTCGGAAGAGTTCCGAATTCCCAGAGTCTGTGACATAAGGGATCAAAGAGTCTGTGACATATCTCTACCCTCACTGGTCGTGACCTTTCGGCCACTGCTGGGAGTAACTGTGCCAGGACCACTGCTGCCACCAGTCCCAGTCGTCCTCTTGAGAGGAGCGTGCCTGCCTGGCCCACTGGGTCGAGGATGAAGAGGAGGGGGCATCGCGCTGACGCTTGCCCTCTGTGTCAGCCTCTTGCATCTGTGGGCGCTTGTTAGGGGCAGCAGCAGCAGCCAGTTTGGCCATGCGCTTGTCTTCCTCGTGCCCCTTGTCATGCTGAATCCGCATCTTCATGATGGAGTAGGCATCTTTGTTGCGTTTGACCCTGAAGACACGAGCTGGGAGTCCGGCTGATTTGGCCGTCTCATTGTAGACTGCCACGATGGTAGTGGCGATCATGTTGAACTCGACCCACGAGGGGAAGTGCTGCTGAAAGTCCTTCTCGTCCCACATCTTGTTGAAGCAGGCATGGATAAGGCCATGCACCTTTGTGGGGGCATCCAGCTCACGATAGGCTCCTCCCGCGCCTGTGGCTATAGTGACCTTCCCATCGCTGGTGAGGACCCGCCTCACCGACATGGCGA